TAGGACATGAACCATGCAAGAAGCTTGATGAACAGACCTGCATATTATATTGTAACTAGAGGCCTGGTGCACAAAATTTGTGCATGGGCCGGGAGTGTTCCTCAGCCCAGCCTGCACCCTCTCCAATTTGGGACATCCCTCTCACAATCTAGGCTCCCAACTACTCACCTGCCTGCCTAATTACCCCTAACTGCTTCTGCCTACCAGTCTGATCACCCCCTAAACACTCCCCTGCCAGCCTGATCAACCCCTAACTGCTGGCCCAATTGCCCCTAACTGCCCTCCTGTACCAGCCTGGTCACCCCTAACTGTCCTCCCCTGCAGGCCTGGTCCCCCCAACTGCCCTCTCCTGTAGGCCTGGTTGCCTCCAACTGCCCTCCCCTGCAGGCGGGGTCCCCTCCAACTGCCCTCCTCTGCAGACCTGGTTGCTCCCAATTGTCCTCCTCTGCAGGCCTGGCTGCCCTTAACTGCCCTCCCCTGCAAGCTTGATCATCCCTAACTGCTCTCCACTGCAGGCCTGCCCCCCACCCCCTACACACACACACACACACACACACACACACACACACACTGCCTTCCCCTGCAGGCCTGGTTGCCCCCAACTGCCCTCCCCTATAAGTCTGGCTGCTCCTAACTGCCTTCCTCTGTCAGCCTGGTCACCTCTAACTGCCCTCCCCTGTTGGCCTGATTGCCCACAACTGCCTTCCTCTGTCAACCATCTTGTGTTCACATGGGGGCAGCCATCTTGTGTGTTGGAGTGATGGTCAATTTGCATATTAGCTCTTTATTATATAGGTTACAGTTTTTCAAGCACACATGCCTAAGTGGGCTGTGTGCCTCCTGTCTGCCCATCATCTCACAGCTCCTGCCTCCAGGAATAAAGCTCCCTCCTCACGGCTACCTGCCTTTCCTCATCTGGCTCCTTCATGTCCACTTTACATGAAGGGGCTCTGGGACCCTGTCCTGCACTGCAGGGAGGGGGAGTGTAGGCTGAGTTCACCGTAGTCAGCTCAGCAGTGGTGTCAGCAGTGGAGGGCAGGGGTGCAGGGAGGTCTTCATCCTCTTACCTCCTGGGTCCTGATCTGGAGTTGATGGCCAGGACACTACCTGCTCCCTCAGGTCCTGAGAGAACCTGTGTCATGGAAATAACACATCTCTCCTAATTCTTCCAGGTAGGAAGCTTCTTGAAATATCCCAGGGAACCCATCTCCCACTGTGGAAGGTCCAGTCTGGAAAGTCCCACCTGAATAGATCCTGTGACAGGACCTTTAGGGTTATAAGCTCACGACCATTTTTCTCAGGGCTACACCTGAGGCAGGGGCAACTGGGCCCTGAGATTCCAGCCTCCACAGTTCATCTGTCTCCCCAATGACGGGCCCTGGGGTTGTTTCCAGGTCACGAGTCTATGCCTTTCTTCCCTCTCTCCAATGTGAAGATCCTCCTGGGGACCCTGATGTCTGTTCTAGTAGCTCAACCCTGAGCAAAACTAAAGAGCATTTGAGGGCTAAAGCAGGAGGTAGAGCCAGGTCTCTGGCATCTGGGATTAAGCCCTGATAACAGATGAGAAGGTCTAGTCCTTATGCCTAGGCAGGGATTCTGATGATGAGACAGAAGCCAGGCTGGTATCCAGCTCTGTCTGACTGAACCCTCACAGATGCTCCATGAACACCCTTACATGAATGTGGGACACCACACAACTGAAGCATATCACCCTGTGTGACACCTGGGGTCAGAGCATGTTCCTGTAGACCAGGGCCTGGTGTCAGCATGGGAGGAGGGCAGCAAGTGCACACAGCCTTTACCCTCGTACAGTGAGGAGGGAGGACAGGGCTCTCTTAACAGCGAGGAGTCTTGGGACAACATAGAGGTAACATCTGGGTTCCATCTTGACTGAAAGAAGTCCATCTCCAAGGCCTGATGTGACTCCTTGCTTTCAGTAAAATTCTGTAGTTGAAACTAACCTAACCGCATCATTAAAGGAAAGAATGTAGGATAATAACAACCTTTCTTTAAAAAAACATTTTATTGATTTTTTTACAGAGAGGAAGGGAGAGAGATAGAGAGCTAGAAATGTTGATGAGAGAGAAACATCGACCAGCTGCCTCCTGCACACCCCCTACCAGGGATGTGCTCACAACCAATGTTCATGCCCCTGACCAGAATCGAACCTGGGACCTTTCAGTCCACAGACTGATGCTCTACCACTGAGCCAAACCGGTTTTGGCAATAACAAGCTTTCTTGACATCATGTTTTGCAGAATAGATTTTTGTCAATTAAATAGTAGCTAGAATATTTGTACAAGCATTATTCTACAGGCACTTTGGGTGGTCCACTGACCATGGAAAAACCCTGGACTACCCTGGGACCAGCCACCACCAGATGAGGCTCATGGGACAGCTGACCTCATCCTCATGCCCAAGCCCTGCACCCACCACAAGGCCCCCATATAAACCATTTATAGGTTTATAAATGGTTTATATGGGGGAGCTCCACTTCTCTTTTCTGGTTGATTCCATTATGCACAAGCTTTCCCCCCGCGCCCCCCCCCCCCAATAAACTCTATCTACTTGAAAGTGTGCTGGGTTCAGTGCTCAGTTCCTTGATATTGATACGCCTATATTGATATTGATACGCCTATATTGATATTGATATTGATATGCCTATTCAAGGTCCTATAACATCCTGACCCCCATTCATTTCCCAAATATTACAGCCCTCCCCATCCCTACCATGTGAGGGATGTCTCCTCTCTCCAGGACACGGGCAGCAGTCTGTATCCTTCCTCTTCTCACAGAGCCCTGACCTGGCAGAAATCCCAGGTGGAGTTACTACCATGGGAAAAGGGAGCCCACCCTAACCTCAAAGGGGATGACACCCATTGCTAAGGTACCTGGTCTATGGGACACTTTCCCGTGGTCCCTAGAGACATCTCACCAGCCCATGGTGTTTTGGGGAACAAGGGGGACTTCCCATGCAGGATAGGACAGGAGAACCCAGGATCTGGGGGTTCTTCCATCTCAGAGGGGACCTTCTCTCTTCTAACAGAGGGACCCACAGGATTCCTTGGTTGACAATTCTCATGGATCTGCTCCAGATCCTGGACCTTGTGGGGAGGCTTAGAGCAGATGACAGACAGGAACACAGATGTCTTGGATGCAGTGCCCCAATGCTGTGATGGGGACACACAGGACATTCTCAGGATCAGTCCTTCAGGCTGGCACACTCTCCTGTAAGCCTCAAGAGACCCCTCACCTTGGAAATCTCGGGGATAAGGAGCTCCTCCAAAAATAGCATATTCCCCTGGAGTGAGAGTTCTCCTGACACTGCATCAGGACTCCTCTGCACAACGCCTGTCCTCTCCCCGTGCTCATCCTGCCCTCTGGATGAAGTCGGGCAGCCTGAGACCCACTGTGCCTGGCCACTCAGCCTGAAGGTCAGAATCCACCTCTCCCAGGCCTCAGGGTCAGCTCTCAGCATCTGGAGCCTGGTCAGCATCCCTGGATCTGTCCCTGACATTGGCAGCAGGTCTCCTTCATGACCTCCAGGTGGCAACATTGAGACACACAGACAGCACACCGGAAATGCACACAAGAACCTGGCTTTGGCTAAGAAGGTGCAGAAGAGCCCGATTTCCATCCCCTGCTCCAATAGGCCTCTGGGCTCTTCCCTAGTTCCTGGCTCCTTCTAGGGCTCTTGTAGCACCTGCTCTCAGAGGCCTCAGTGCTGCTCCTCCACCCCATGCCTGGCACCACCCATGAGGAAGGCAGGGTGACCACAGGAAAGCCCCCCCAGGCAGAGGAGGGACAGAGGCTGCTCCGACCATCAGGGAGCACTTGGACAGGCCCTGAGCCACAGCTCAGCCAATGGGCACAGAGAAGGAGAATCTCCTTGAAACCTTGAGTCTGAGGACCAGGGAACCCACAGCCATCTGACCACTAAGCACAATCCTCACTTGAGAGGACACAAAGGACACCTACACCTTCACCCCGGGAACTTCAGGTCCTTCTGAAACACCTAGTCCTGTCCGGGAAGCAGGGGCTACACAGGTGACAGCTGGAGATAGAGAAGGGTTCCCCTCCCCTGTCATCATTCAGCTGACCCCTTTCTCACCACAGAGTCACCTCTGTGGCCTTCCTGCTGGGAGGAAATCCGACCTTTCCAGCGCATTTGAGAACACAGGGAAGAGCTGGTGCCGAGCTGGGTTTCTGTGTCACAAATGGAAGGAATCCCCAGGTTTGGGGCCTCCTGTAGCTTTCTGTGTTGGTGAAAGACCCAAGGCCTCTCCTGTGTGCAGAGTCTCAGGTCCACTGCACACCTGTCCAGTCAGAATCTGCATTTGAACAGGATCTGGAGATCCTCTCTGTGCATAGGAGAGGAGGAGCAGCTGCCCCACCCACATCTCATGGGTCTCAGCCTGGCAGGCACCCACCTTAGCTGGGCAGCTGTTGAAGCAGGGCTTCTACGGTGCCATCTGGGCATCACAATCTTTACTAAGTTCCACTGGGGATTCACATGCACGATGGAGATGACATCCCTGTGACAAGAGTTCCTGATGCAGCCCCTAGGCTCCTGCTCTGAAGGAAAAATCCCAAATGATGAGAGGGGGCTCTAGGGGATGCGTGAGACCCAGACACCCCCAACATTCCAGGCTTGTGTTTGTTCTAATAGGACATGTGTGTCTGTTTGTCTGTGTGTGGTGGATAATCATAGCTAAAGAAACTGAAGCTTCAGCAGTTCCCAGGAAACAGAAAAGTAGACAGAAGGAAAAGGGAAGGAGGGTTCAGGGGACTTAAGGATGAGAGGGAAGGGAGAAGGAGAGTCCTAGGGATAGACCCCGCCCCCTCCCACGTGACCGGGAAGCATTCCTGCCCTGGGAGGAGGTTCAATGCACTGAAAGAAAGGACGGCAGATCCCACGCAACCAGAACAGAGGTGCCTGGGAGTGTTCCTGGGCCCAAGCTCTTCTCACAGAGGGAGGGACAGAACCGACAGCAGACACCATGGAGTCCCCCTCAGCCCCTGCTCACAGACGGTGCGTCCCCTGGCAGGGGCTCCTGCTGGCCGGTAAGGAGGGGACAATCCCTGGGGTGGACAGGGAAAGGAGAGACAGAGACTGGCTGTGTTCTCCTGGGGAGCGCAGCGCTCTGAGAGGGGACAGAGGGCTTCTGTTTGGACCTGAGGAGAGAGGACAGGGAAACAGAAGAGGGGGCTTAGCAGCAGGACAATCCTATGATCTAGAAGTGGTGAGGGGCAGGAACACCTTGACTGCTGTTTTTTTTTTTTTCTTCTTTTTCTTTTCTTTTCTTTTCTTTTTTTAAAAAAAATATATTTTATTGATTTTTTTACAGAGAGGAAGGGAGAGGGATAGATAGTTAAAAACATCGAGCTGCCTCTTGCACACCGCCTACTGGGGATGTGCCCGCAATCAAGGTACATGCCCTTGACCGGAATTGAACCCAGGACCTTTTGATCCATAGGCCGACACCAAACCAGTTTCGGCTGCTGTGTGTTTTTAAAGTTAATAATTTCTGAACAATAAGTTTTAAAAACCAATGACAATAATCACAATATGTCAGGGGGCAAAAAACTTAACCAGGGATGCTAAACCTTACCACGAAGCTCAGAAATGAGCTGTACATCCCAGGAGGTGCAGGATGCTGCAACACTCACTTATTCACCCACAGGCACTTACAGCCTGTTGCAGGCACTGGGATGCAACAAGATCAGACAAGTCTCTGCCCTGCAGGAAGATCATGTTCTATGGGAGAAGGCAGACAAGGAAAGATCTAGATGTGATGTCAGGTCCCTCCTAGTGCCATGCAGGAAACAGCCTAGGAACAGGTCAGAAAGTGAAGACAGAGGTCTTTACAGGAGGTGATCAGGGAAGGGGTCTCCTAAGGACACCCCTGAGTGTCAGCAAGGGTCTGAGGGCAGACATCTGGGTAACAGTATTCAAAATAGAGGGAATAACAGGTTCAGAGGTGCTAAAGTATTGGTGGCCATGCTTCTGACCTTGATCACAGGAGATGGAGACACACTCACACACACACACACACTCACACACACACACCAAGGCTGAGAGATGAAGAGACATATTGGTCAACTTCTCCCTTCCCTCCTAGCCTCACTCCTAACCTTCTGGAGCCTGCCCTCCACTGCCCAGCTCACTATTGAATCAGTGCCGCCCAATGCTGCCGAAGGGAAGGAAGTGCTTCTCCGTGTCGATAATCTGCCTGGGTTTCTTGGAGGCTATGTCTGGTTCAAAGGGCAAAGTGTGGACAGCAACCATCAAATTGCATCATATGTAATAGATGCTCAAGAAATACACCCAGGACCTGCATACAGCCAACGAGAGACAATATACCCCAATGGATCCCTGCTGTTGAAGAAGGCCACCCTGAAGGACACAGGATACTACACTCTACTAGCCATAAAAGGAAATTTTCAAGGTGAAATAGTAACTGGACAGCTCCACATATACCGTGAGTGATTGCTCTCTGTCCTCTGGGTGTCTGTCGGGTGGAGTGAATTCTACTTCACACATGGGACTGACAGCCCTGATCTCTGCCATGATCCCCCTCTGCCTAATTTCACAGGTTGGGTTTGGGCATTTAGTGCAGGACATACACAGTGTAGACAAACTTCCTAAGATCAGAGTTCCCTTCCTGGATTCCAGCTCTGCACACATTCTCCACAGAGAGAAGACCAGTCTGATGAAAGTGACTCCAGCAAAAAGATATCAGTCTCATCTAGGCCCCTGGGCCCCTCCCCATAACCATGACCCTGGGACAGGTTCTGCAGGGATCGGTCAGGGCGTGGACTCTGGGGCCCCTACGATCCTTACACAGAAGTTCAGCCCAGTCAGTCCCTCCCCAGACCTTTGATCCCAGGCTTCTTACTCCAGGGACTTTGGGGAGTCCATGCTATGTTGGGTTTGGTTTGTGGGCAAGGCTGACCTGGAGCAATTACTTCCCAGGTGCCCAAGTCACAAGGCTCCTGAGCTAGTCACCAGCTAGAGCTCAGCCCCATGAGCCACATCTGGGCGAGGATGGAGCCTGGCCCTTCATCTGAGACTGTGTGTGGAGAGCACAGATGGACAAGGTGGCCAGGTATTTGGCCAACTTCCCTGGGGGATTTAGATGAGTCCAGAGAAAGGTCAGCATCCCCAGGGAGGAAAAGAGGAGAGACGATGCTTGGGGGGGGGGGGGCTCCTCATCCACCAGGGATCAGCTCAGGATTTAGGTCAGGTGCTGTTAATATTTTAGGGTTAATTTGCTGACAACCTGGCAGTCAAATATTCATCCTCTTACACTGAGAGAAAACTGAGACACAGGGAAATACAGTCACTAAAGCAGAGTCCCACAGACCATGAGAAGCTGATCAGAGTCACCTGAGGTCTGTCTGCAGCCAGAGCCCAGTCCTCTCCTCCACCCCAGGGGCCTATTAGGTGTCTGTGGTTTTCTAGAGTCTAGGGCAGTGGTTCTCAACCTTTCTGATGCCCTGACCCTTTAATACAGATCCTCATGTTGTGGTGACTCCCAACCATAAAATTATTTTCGTTGCTACTTCCTAACTGTAATTTTGCTACTGTTAATGAATCGTAATGTAAATATCTATGTTTTCTGATGGTCGTAGGCTCTACAGCAGCAGTTCTCAACCTGTGGGTCATGGCCTACAGGTTGAGAACTGTTAGCAGCGTCGCCTAAGACCATCTGAAATGCAGATATTTACATTACGATTCATAACAGTTCCATAACATGAGGAACTGTATTAAAGGGTTGCGGCATTAGAAAGGTCTAGAGCTTAGACCAACCATTGTTTCAGGTACTTTCTTTTTAGGGGTCCTTAGCACAGAGGGAGAGATTCTGGTCTGGGGAAGCAAAGGTAATGGAGAATTAATCTGTTTTTATGCCAAAACGAAATTCCCTGCAGTAACAATCAGAGTTAGTGCTGGGAACGCCCAGGCCTTCCCATCAGGTGGCTGATTCACGCCTCCCTGCACTCCCTCCCTGCACTGAACTTGAAACCACTTATTTGCTCCCTGTGTGTTGGTGTCACTCCCACTGGATGTAAAGGAAAGGACTTTGCCTTCTCACTCCTCACTCTACACCTGCAACTAGTTCAGGGACCTACTTGTAACAAACACCCAATTGCTTTTGATGAATTAGGAAGAAATAAATGGTGAACGAATGAATGAATGATTCCAGATCTCTTCAGAGACTGGAACCTGGCTGCCGAATCCTTGGAATTCTGGTCACATGGGACAGGCTCCCTGTCCATCTAGGGGCTGAGACCCATGTCTCAGGCCCTTTGCTGCTCTCTAGAGAAATAGTCATTCCTGCCCTGGCTGGTTTTGCTCAAAGTGGTCAGAGCATTGATCTATGGTTTTGCTCAGTAGACAGGGCATATACCTTGGTTGCAGGCTCAATCTCTTGCCCTAGTTGGGGCACATGTAGGAGGAAATCAATCAATGTGTCTCTCTGATGTCTCTCTCTCTCTCTCTCTCTCTCTCTCTCTCTCTCTCTCTCTCTCTCTCTCTTTCTCTCTCTCTGTCTCATTCCCTTCTACTTTCTCTAAAAATTAATGGGAAAAATATCTTTAGGTGAGAAGTAGCAATAATGAGAGAGAGAGAGAGAGAGAGAGAGAGAGAGAGAAAGAGAGAGAGAGAGAGAGAGAGAGAGAGAGAGAGAGAGAGAGAATAGTCTTTCTTGCTATTGGTCTTAGGCTCCTAGGTATTAATATTTTTCACATATGAAATATTTTAAGTTCCTTTCAAGTTTTTCTCATAAACACCAAATACAAATAGTTCATAAGGGCCAGAATGTCAGCAATCCATGCTCCCCTCTTACTATCCATCACCCCTTTTGCATCTGCATCTGCACAAGTCCTCCCCTGCCCTCATCACAGAGAGAATGACCAAGGGCAGAACACATGGTTCTGCTGCCACAGTCAGTTCCTGTCTGTCCCTTCACTATTTTTTAGCTGATTCCTTGGATTCTGCTCTGTCATTTATTGGATCACTGGCTCATTTCAGTCACACTCACCTGGGAAGGCCTAACCTAGTTTTTGGTCCCGGGGCCTGAGTAATCAACTGACCACCAGCTTGCTCTTGGTTTCCATGTAATTTCTGCTCCAACCCAGTCTCTAGGATGTCCTGGGAAATGGAGTCTCATAGAAACACACTTCAGCTGGGTGATGGAGGTCTGTGCTGCTGGAAGAAATGGTCCCTGGTCAGCCAGGCAGTCAGCTGTTCAGTGAAGAACCAGGAGAAGTGCCGGGTGGTCTCTAGCTCCCCATCCTGTGTCTTCCCATGATCAAAGATAGTTAATGGACACATGAGAAAGTCTTTACTTTTCCCCAGATAAAGAGTTGGATCCCCATGTGTTTATCTTGTGATATATTGGCCTGCTTTACTTTCTGCCCCTCTCTCTCTTCCCTCCCACCCCCTGCTTTACTCTTATGAGGACTTAAGTTGGCTGAGAGGTGAGAGGTCCAACTCTAATTCCTTTGGAGGAAGGAAAGGTATCACACAGAGCAGTGTTCTCTTTGTTACCTGAACAGAAGAGTTACCCACACCCAACATCACTAGCAACAACTTCAACCCCAAGAGTCTTGATTTGTATTTTCCTAGTGATAGTGATGTTAAGTGTCTTTTCCTGGGCTTATTGGCCATTTGTAAATCTTCTCTGGAGAAATGTCTACTCAAGTGTTTTGCCCATTTTTCAACCTTGGTTATTTGGTTTGTTGTTGAGTTGTAGGAGATCTTTACATATTCTGGATATTAACCCCTCAGCCTATATATGATTTACAAAGTATTTTCCTTCATTCCATAGGTCATCTTTCACTCTGTTGATTGTGTCCTTTGATGAACGGTTTTTCATTTTTATAAAGTCCAGTTTATTAGTTTTTTTTCTATTCTTTTTTTTTTGGGAGGCATGCGTTCTTAGTGTCATAGTCAAGAAATAATTTCCAAATCCAATGTCATTAAGCATCCCTCTATATTTTCTTTTGGGTTTTATAGTTTTAGGTCCTACCTTTAGAATTAAATCCATTTTGAATTAGTTCTTGTTCACAGTATAAGACAATGGTCCACTTCATTCATTTCCTTGTGGATAAAATTGTTCATCACCATTTATTGAAAAGACTGTCCTTTTTCCATTGAATGGCTTTGCCTCCTTTATTGTAATCATTTGATCACATAACAGAGGTTTTTATTTCAGGGTCTTTGTTGTATTATTACATGGACTATATGTCTGTCTTTATGCCAGTAACACACTATTGTGGTTACTTTAGCTCTTTAGTAAGTTTTGAAATCAGGAAGTATGAGACTTCCAATATCTTCCTTCTTTTTAAAGATCATTGCAACCACTTGGGGCCCTTAAAATTCCATATGAATTCCAGGAAGGATTTTTCTATTTCTGCGCCCCAAAAATCATTGGGATTTTGATGGAGATTGCATCAAATATGTAGGTAGTTGTGGGGAAGGGTCTTCCAATCCATGAACATGGATCTTTCCATTTATTTGTTTCCTCTCAAATATGTTTGGTAGTTTTCCATGTATACATCTCCCATATATTGGTTAAGTTTATTCCTAAGTATTCTATTATTTTTGATGCTATTGTAAATGGAACTGTTTTCTTAATTTCATTTTGAGATTGTTCATTGTTGTTGTAAAGAAATAGAAATGATGCTGAATGTTGATTTTTGCCTCTTTTAACTTCACTGAATTAATTAGTTCTAACAGTTTTTTTTTTTTACCTACTTGTGGAATATTTAGGTTTTCTACATCTAAAATTATGTCATCTGTTAAAAGACATAATTTTTCTTCTTCCTTTCCAATTTGTATGCCTTTAATTTCATCTTCCTGCCTTATTGCTCCAGCTAAGCTTTCAGAAGTGGTGAAAACAACATCAGTGTCTTGTTCATGACCTTAGTAATGTTTTCTGAGTTTCTCCACAGAGAGTTATGTTAGCTATGAGCTTTTATGTGTGGCCTTTAGCATATCAGATAATTTTCTTCTATTCCTACAGTCTCTGCCTTTTGTTAAAACCTCTTCTCTATAGAGATGTCCTTCATAGCAATATCCAATCACAGTTCTGTTCATATTAAGAAATCCTTTAGATGGAACATTTCCAGGTACAAGATCATGAAAACTGGATTGGGCTGTTTTTACTGCCTAATAAATTATTTAACAAGAGTTAAATACCTTTTCATTTTTGTAAAGTTTCCCTGGCCCCAGAAATGGACAGAGGAGTAAGCCTGCCTTTCCCAACATGCATGAAGTTTACATGAGGAGCAGAAGCTGATATTTTTTGAAATCAAAGAAAGTTCTAGAAAAGGATCAAAAAGTTTGTTTAAAAAAATTCCACATGAGAATGAGATCGCAGACATATGGGCTGAGGATGCAGGACACATGGGCTGAGGTCGCAGGACACAGCCTGGCCCTCCATGCTGACTGGCCCCTGTCTGCCCTGCTCATAAA